TGACAAAAAGGGCTGTCAAGAGGAGCATCGAAATGGATCCCAGATTAACGACTACAGAAGTGGCCAAAGTTGGTGGGATGAGCCCGAAACCTGTTCAACGGATTCTCCACAGATTGGGTTATCGTTGCAGAGCAGCTGGACAGAAGCCCTTATTAAGACCTGCCAACATAGTCAGACGAAAGAAGTGGGCAAGTGATATGATGACCAAGCCTCTGGACTTTTGGAAGAACGTATTGTTCTCGGATGAATCAAGATTCGCTCATTTTTCGGACAGTGGAAGAATATGAGTCTGGAGATGCCTCACCAAGAGTTTTGGCTCAACAGATTGCAGCCAACTGTGAAGCATGGTGGTTTCAGCGTGATGGTTTGGGGAGCTGTTTGGGTTGGTGGGAGATCGAGCTTAGTGGAGTGCGTTAGCAACATAAATTTTGCAAAATACGTCGAAATATTGGAGGAAGGACTCTTGCCACTTTATTTCTCGGGTTTCGTGGGCAAGAACACAACGTTGTTCCAGGAAGATGGAGCACCGTGTCACACTGCTAGAAACACTCAAATGTATCAGGAAGAAAATGGTATCCAGAAGTTGCCCTGGCCGAGCCAATCTCCTGACATGAACCCCATCGAAAACCTCTAGGCCATACTCGACCGGCAAGTCAAGAAACAACCAAAAAACCAACTTCGAAGAGCGATCTACTCCAAGTTTTGAAGCAAGAGTGGCCGAAAATCCCACATTTGTTATGAAATGTTATACATCTGTGGACATGACCTTGACCTTCCAATTTTTTGATTTTTCCATCACAATCAATACATCTCAAGGTCAGACATTTGACCATGTAGGGATATTTCTTCCAAAACTTTTTTCAAAATATTTTCCATATTCTAATAAAGGACCACTTACAGGTCTCTGGAATGAAACCCATCACAGTACGTATTCCCACTTTCAGCTGTAAAGATATTATAATATTATGAAAGCTCTCGAGTAGCTTTTTTGTTTTCAGTATCAGTATTAGTTGTATTTCATATATCATCAAGCTGCTAATTACACTTTTGTTAAATTTTCTCGGGACTAGTAACAAAGATTCAAGTTCTTTATTTTTTGTGGGAATTAACGTTAGAGCTATATCGGGTAGGTCCGCTAGATAACAGAGGATTCGCTCAAGATAACGACTGCAAATAATAATACTGTTGCGTCATCGAGATCACGTGACAATTCTCACGCTCTCTTGTTTCTAGAACTATCCCGTATCTTGGCGAATGGTCTAGTAATTACTAGAAATAGAGTACGCTGGTATATAAAAG